ATGCCTTATTTTCATGGAAGTTTTAAAGAAAGAAAATTTATGACAATTACCATGCAGCACCAACACAATCTGTGTTATACAACTGACGGTAAGATTCCGTTTTCTATCAGAAGTGGTTTGGATTATTATGTGTTCAGAGAATCCTTCCTTCTGCTTTTGTTTGGTATCAAGGAAGAAAAGAAAACGGGCTTAAACACCCAATAAAAGGCTGAAAACATATTTAAACATCAGTCTGACATAATCATAGTATTTATGTACTAAATAAACACAAACTGTACATAATAATGATTTAACACACAGAATACATCTATACAAAATATTTTATCGTACATATGTGCAAATTTTATAAATAAATTGCTGTCAGGAGCTGAAATTAGCTCATACAGTTTGTCATTTAGTAAGAAATACCTTTCACTCTCATCATACAGGCAACAAACCCTTCTTATACTGCTATCATTATACAGAAAAACCTTGTTACACTGCCATCAGTATACAGTAAAACCTTGTTACACTGCCATCAGTATACAGTAAAACCTTGTTACACTGCCATCAGTATACAGTAAGACCTTGTTACACTGCCATCAGTATACAGTAAAACCTTGATGTACTGCCATCAGTATACAGTAAAACCTTGTTACACTGCCATCAGTATACAGTAAAACCTTGTTACACTGCCATCAATATACAGTAAAACCTTGGTGTACTGCTATCATTATACTGTAACACCTTGTTACACTGCCATCAGTATACAGTAAAACCTTGTTACACTGCTATCAGTATACAGTAAAACCTTGGTGTACTGCTATCATTATACTGTAACAACTTGTTACACTGCCATCAGTATACAGTAAAACCTTGTTACACTGCCATCAGTATACAGTAAAACCTTGGTGTACTGCTATCATTATACTGTAACACCTTGTTACACTGCCATCAGTATACAGTAAAACCTTGTTACACTGCCATCAGTATACAGTGAAACCTTGTTACACTGCCATCAGTATACAGTAAAACCTTGGTGTACTGCTATCATTATACTGTAAAACCTTGTTACACTGCCATCATTAAACCATAAAAACTTCTTATTCCGTCACCATTATGCAGTAAAATTTGTTATGCTGTCTGTTTTGCAGAAAAACCTTATTATACTGACATTATTTGTTCTGTGTAATTTTGGCATTATAATGAAATTTGGCAATGTATAAGATGTTTGAAAGAAGCAGTAAAAATGGAAAAGCAGTAAATGAGATGGCATGTATTATACCAAAGCTTTGTAACATTGTTCTGTAAAATTTACACACCAAAATATTACATAGATAAATCGCATCATTTACATGTAGTTTAACCTTAACAACACAAGTATCTCATTAACAAAACCGTTTGAACATGAAATGTTAACTACAAATGAAAACATGTATTTTTTGTAGGCCATATCTTGGAGCTATGTGTATCATCCGCATTACGCTGTCACACAAATTAAAATTCAGAATATAAACGATAGCTGTCTATGTTATCATGACAATTGTATAATCATGAATCATAGTGAACACCAGGAAGAACAGTCGGTTGTGTAATCCTGAAAACCATTGTAACAGGAAGTACAGTCGGTTGCGTAATCATGAAAACTATATAAACAGAAAGTAGTCAGTTGCATAATCCTGAAAATCATATCAACAGGAAGTACAGTCGGTTGTGTAATCCTGAAAACCATTGTAACAGGAAGTACAGAAGGTTGCGTAGTCTTGAAAACCATATAAACAGGAAGTACAGTCGGTTGTGTAATTCTGAAAACCATTGTAACAGGAAGTACAGAAGGTTGCGTAATCCTGAAAATCATATCAACAGGAAGTACAGTCGGTTGTGTAATCCTGAAAACCATTGTAACAGGAAGTACAGTTGGTTGGGTAATCATGAAAACCATATAAACAGGAAGTACAGTCAGTTGGGTAATCCTGAAAACCATATAAACAGGAAGTACAGTCGGTTGTGTAATTCTGAAAACCATTGTAACAGGAAGTACAGTCGGTTGGGTAATCCTGAAAACCATATAAACAGGAAGTACAGTCGGTTGTGTAATCCTGAAAACCATTGTAACAGGAAGTACAGTCGGTTGGGTAATCCTGAAAACCATATAAACAGAAGTACAGTCAGTTGCGTAATCTTGAAAACCATATAAACAGGAAGTACAGTCGGTTGTGTAATCCTGAAAACCATTGTAACAGGAAGTACAGTCGGTTGGGTAATCGTGAAAACCATATAAACAGGAAGTACAGAGGTTGCGTAATCCTGAAAACCATATAAACAGGAAGTACAGTCGGTTGTGTAATCCTGAAAACCATTGTAACAGGAAGTACAGTAGGTTGCGTAATCCTGAAAACCATATAAACAGGAAGTACAGTCGGTTGTGTAATCTTGAAAACCATATAAACAGGAAGTACAGTCGGTTGTGTAATCCTGAAAACCATTGTAACAGGAAGTACAGTCGGTTGTGTAGTCTTGAAAACCATACCAACAGGAAGTACAGAAGGTCGTGTAATTTTGAAAACCATATAAACAGGAAGTACAGTCTGTTTTGTAATCATGAAAACCATATAAACAGGAAGTACAGTCGGTTGTATAATCAAGAAAACCATATAAACAGAAAGTACAGAAGGTTGCGTAATCCTGAAAACCATATAAACAGGAAGTACAGTCTGTTTTGTAATCATGCTGCAAAATCATGATTGAGTAAACGGTATAGAAGAAAAATGTTATACAGTCTTTATCAAAATAGTCAACGGATTTTATTTCATATTGTCACTGAATAAAATATAGGAATATACAATTTATCTGATGCATAGAATGACTGGAGAACAGGTTTCTTAAGTCTTAAATCCTCCAATCGTGTTTGTAATATATAATACAAATATGCCACCATCCTACATGGAAGATGTATTATTATGCATAGAGGTGTACAGAGTTTTCAAACATGGATGTTTTCTTATGCCAAGGAACCTAATTTTTAAAGTTGTGCTGCATAGGACCTGTTACACACCTATGAAAGTTATCTCCCCTTCTGAATCCATTCAGACAACTGACTCATGATTACAGGATATTACAGGCTACAAATGAATTAATTTTTTTAATCTAAAATTCTTTTTTAAATTTGAAATTCTTTTTTAAAAAAAAAGCCTGGTTTCTATCAATGACTTGCAATTACAAAATATAACAGTTCAAGATTGAGGGCAAAACTTTCTTAATTTAAATTCTCTACAGACAAATTTGCTACAAAAAGTAACTCTTCTGCTAAAAAGTTGAAGTCTGTAATAGTGGATGTGAAATTCCTTAAATAAATAAATTTTCAAAAAGGAACAGTTTTACAGAAGAATGTGAAACCATAAAACACCTTTTGGTTGTGATGTTTTGTTGTTCTGGTGTAGATATGGGGTCACTTTTCCACTACAGTGTTTTAGATGACTAAATTTTTGTTGTTAATGCCGAATGTAATAAAAATATCTCTACCTATTTATCATCAGAAATATCTTTGGGGATATCGCTGGATTCGCTTCCTGTTTTACAGTCAAGTGGTTAGCCAACGCTTGCTAATAAAAGAAAACTATCATACATTTCTGTCCTACTTAACATGACAACAAAGACGAGCTCTTCTTTGTTGGAGACAAAGCATTGTGTACCTCTGCCTTTAAATGTTTGTTCTTTAAGTGGAGGAGGAAATCTTTCTTCAAAGTAACATGGTACAATATGATACACTTCCTGTGACCTTGACATTATAGGACATCGACCTCACCCCTCTAAGGTTTCTATATCTTGCACTCCATGTCAAGTATTTTAGGGTAATAAGTCAGGAAACCATTTGGATTAAAAAGCAGACGACATGTGGTCAAATTAATTTCCTTATAACTTCACTGAAATCTTGTGTAAAAGTAGTTTAAATATTGACAAAAGGATTTGGTTTAAAAGTTATTGCAAGTTTCTTAAAAATCATTGTCAAAATTTGAAATCTGATCAAACAGGCTTTGGGTCGAGCAAAACTTCTGAATTTGTATAAATGAGGAACAAGTTAAGGAATATGGGTTTGGTTTTAAATGACTAATCAGAAACATAACACAACTTCAACCTTGAAAATTTAAGAGGTATTTAAGCAAATAAAAACATTTCTTGTTTGAGAAATCTGTACTAAAATGATTGCACATAAGCCACAGAGAGTTCATATGAAGTCAAATACGACCTTTTATCTATAGAGGATAATAGTTTACTATTGATCAAAGGAGTCCAAGAGTGTTGGAGTTACCGTAATTCTCCAAGTACTGTTATCACATAACCTCTGAGTATCAATACAGAAGATGAAGGGGCGTATCAGAGATCTATTTTCCATAAAAAAGTTGGTGTATTCTGTGAAGAATTACGGTAAGGAGTCTTGTTCCTTTTTCACTTGTTTTTTTTTTTTATATACCAAATACCATTATATAATATGATGAGTATATAACTAGAAAAAAAGACATGAATATTTCAATTTCAGTTTGAAATTTTGTTTCGACAATTTCTTTAAAAATTTTGAAAATTTCTGTCAAGTGTCTTATTGTTCACAATAAACAAAGACATACAAATCTGACGCATAAAGTAGAGAAGAAATACACGTAGAGAAAGACATGGTGCAGTCACACAGCTGAAAAAGACAGTAGAAAAATACACTCATCCATAAATACCGAGCTTTGGTACTGGTGAAGTACCTAACTAGTTCTTGTAGTGAAGACGAATGGACACAAGACAACAGGGCTGTCCTGAACTGACCGAAGCATCAGAACAAGGAAAAGATATCTCCAGGACCCTAATGCTTTTTGGAATGCTCTTTTAAAGTGGTCAGTATGGTCACTCTAATTTCATAAGTGTCCAAACCCTTAATGCGTCATAAAATATCCTTCTTAATTGCAGTAAAAAAACTGACCAGTACATAAAAATATACTGACCATCACAACTTAAACCTGATAGCTTTTACTGTGCTATCATACAATGGTACCAGGCCAAGACACAACTGTAAGTGCTACAGCACCGTCAGCCATTTTGAGTAAATCCACAGCCTTAGTATGTGTCACACCTTGTAAACTGTCTTCATTCACACTTAGTAAAATGTCCCCACATCTGCAACATAAATGCTGTACTTACAAATACTGACCTAAGGGAGCCAACTCTTTGTTTCAAAAACAATAAGTTAAAGTTATAAGAGTTATGTCCCCTACAAAGCTATATTTTTCAAAATCATCTTTTAGATACACGAGTGTAGGCTTTTAACAGTTTTAAGCATCAAAACTACAGCTTTTCTAAGAAAACACATGCAAACATCTTTTCACTGACTCCTACTTTGGTGAAAATGAGAAATTGACAAAGAGGTAGCTAAATTTTAAAGAAGTGATGCTGACCAATGTTTGACTAGGCTAATAACCAAAGAAATGAATGGCAGCATAGTGTTCTTAAAGATGTAAATGTGAGTGCGAGACTTCTTTCTTAAGAGACGATCAACTAAGATGGAGGTACAGATGTGACTGAAACACAGGTGTGAAAGTTAATTGTCTTGAATTTAGACAGGTATGATTTATGGTACTGCTTAGTTTAATTAGTTTATGAAATTCAATAACATAGATTTTGTTGTGATGCAGAAATCACATCGTTGGCCATTGTAATTTAAAAACATTGATTTTTGGCATATATAAGGAAAGAAACATTTTTGATCTGTCTCCCTATCAATTTATCCATAAAACAGCTTGTATAATACATACTTGAGTCGTCCATCCTTGGCAGCTGGCGTGTCCAGCACAACAGATTTTACATACACTGGGTAGGGGGGAATACCTTTCTCACTGTCGACCCCGCCCACTACGGAGAACCCGAGAGAGCCACTGGGACTGCGTAAAAGAGTGACAGTCTTGAGTGTCTGACACATCCTGTAAAAAAGATTATTATCTCCCTTTAAGCAATGCAGATAAATTGGTGAATCTAGCAAAATGATTCTCACCAGTTCATTCTACCATATACACTAACCCTCAACAAATTATTTCACCAGACCAAATATTTAACTCAGTTCACTGAACAAACACTCTTGCCTTAGTTTAGCAAGTTCATCATAGCAAATACTCTCATCCAAGTTCAGTCAGTTTTTGCTCAAACACTTGTCCTTGTTCAGCCAGTGCTCTCTCCTTAAAATCCTCACTCTAGTTCAGCATGTTCTCCCTCTCATACAACCTCACCCTATTTCAACCATTTCTCCTTCCTATATAACCTCACCCTATTTCAACAATTCTTCTTAACGTACAACCTCACCTTAGTTCAACCAGTTCTCCCCATACATCCTCACCCTAGTTCAACCAGTTCTCCCCATACATCCTCACCCTAGTTCAACCAGTTCTCCCCCCCACCCCACCCCACGAAACCTCAAACCCCCTTACCATAGTATAGCCAGTTCTCCCTCTCAAACCCCAAACACTCTTTCCCCAGTTCAACAAGTTTCCCCCACCCCCCAACCCCCCAAAATCCTTGCTCTATTTAAGCCATTTCACCAAACAAAACATCCTCTCCATAGTTCAGCCAGTTCTTCCTTCATCCCAACCTATTTCATCCAGTTCACCATACCACACAACAAAACAATCTAGCCCTATTTAAGCCTGTTCTTCGTACCGAGGCATCTGCTGCCAGAACAGCCAGGTTGGTGTAAAGTTGCCCTGGTTGTGGGATGTCTCCGGACCATTGATGATCTTCAGGCATACCACTTTGTTGTCTGTGTTCATCTTAACCAGACTGACCGCCTCGTTGTGCGTAAGTCCTAGCAGACTTGACCCGTTAATGGATAGCAGGATATCCCCTTTCTGTGTGACATATACATATACAGAGAATCAACAACACTAATTCTACTTTATTTTATCAACAGTAGGTTTGAAAATGAGGATACTTTTCCCAATCTTTTCAGATATATATTTGGTTAACTTTGTATCACATACCTTACTTCTACGTATTTGTGACACTCTTATATCTTTGCTGCTATTAAAGTTGATTCCTCACAATAAAAATTTATTGTTTTCATAAAAATGAAAATTTTTAAAATTACTAACTAAAACAGGGTTTTTAATGTAATTTAATCATTCTCTTTCCAAGAAAAACTGAAAACCATAAAAATTCTAAAATGATGAAGATGTAAAAACAGAGTCATGATATCTTAATATGGCCCCACATTTACCTTTATCTGCTTGGTGCGACCGAGGGAGCCGAGAGGGTTTATATTGGTGACGTAGATAGGCGTGTCCCCGCGAGGGCTGTCTAGTCCTCCAGCTACACTTATACCCAGCGTCTCAAGTGGGTCCTGCAATTGTTACGCTAAACTATACCACAAATACATCTTAGAGGCAGATGGTTAATTTTCAGGGAGCAAAATCAAGACAACTACAATACATATAAGACAGGTTATCATACTGAACACAGGAAATAAGGATCGTTAAATATTTTCTCCCATTCTTTTGAACATTCTTTTAAGTCAAGCCATTTCATTCTTTATCCTTTTTATCCTTTTATTTCGTTTTGTTGATAACATGGCCCTGGTTGCTTGAGCAGTTTAAAGTACTTAATTACTTTCTCATTCTTTATCGAAGCACCGCCAATGAAAACTGATATTCCTTTTAACATCAACATTTCTGATTGACTTTCCTCAAACTCAAAGAAAGGACACAAACTTGAGCATATTCATGAAACTGGGGACCAGCTTATATTTTTGATTGGTTGCGTTATCAATCATAGGGAAATTTATTTTCTGAGAAAAAACTGAAACTTGTTGCACGAAATTAAAAAAAAAAAAAAAAAAAAAATCATAAAATTTTTTTATAGTTAATAAATCATGAATAAGTCACAATAATTGTCTCCACACCATCATACTTCGGACATGATGATGTAGCGGTTCCATTAGGACCGAGTCTTGACCTAATGAACATCATAGCAAAGAGTTACATGGATAAATTAATCTATATTTATTGTATCAGACATATCAAGCCTGATGTTATGTTACCTTTGTGACGGTGACAAGACGTTCATGACACTTCGGACATGAGGGAGTATTGTCGCGTATCATACTGTAGTTGGTCGCTGTTGTAGAGCTGTCAGAGGTAGATCGAATAAGGTCTGGGGTTTGAGGACGACTTCGTCTTGAAATCACAAATTGCACTTTATCAGCACTCGTCTGAAACAGTAATAATAGAATCACATAGTTAGTCTTACTAAAGTCAGGTTATATATAATGACCTAAACAGGTCATCAATCTCAAAGCTTTAAGAACTGAATTAAACTAAATTTGTGTTATTAACTTAATGTGCAAGTCTATGTAAACCTGAGAGTGTTTACCTGTAATTGTACATACTGCCCACAGTGTTTACCTGTGATTATACCTACTGCCCAGAGCGTTAACCTGTGATTGTACATACTGCCCACGGTGTTTACCACAGTGTTTAACCTATGTGTCTACATACTGCCCACAGTGTTAACCTGTGATTGTACATACTGCCCACGGTGTTAACCTGTGATTGTACATACTGCCCACAGTGTTAACCTGTGATTGTACATACTGCCAAATGTGTTTACCTGTGTGTCTACATACTGCCAAATGTGTTTACCTGTGTGTCTACATACTGCCCACAGTGTTTACCTGTGTGTCTACATACTGCCCACAGTGTTTACCTGTGTGTCTACATACTGCCCACAGTGTTTACCTGTGTGTCTACATACTGCCCACAGTGTTTACCTGTGTGTCTACATACTGCCCACAATGTTTACATGTGTGTCTACATACTGCAACAGCGTTTACCTGTGTGTCTACATACTGCCACAGTGTTTACCTGTGTGTCTACATACTGCCCACAGTGTTTACCTGTATTATATGAGCCGCCTGTTCTTGTGTACCATATGACACATCGATGCCATTTATCTCAAGGACCCGATCATCAGGCCGAAGTCGCTCATCCAAAGCAGCCAAACTTTCTGGCACCTATAATGAAAATAATCCTTACTTATATACTGTAAAGATCATACTAGAGTCAACATGAAACAGATAAATACATTTCTTATCTTATTACATTAGTTTGATAAATACAACTATCAATTAACTACATTAGTTTGATAAATACCACTATCAATTAACTACATTAGTTAGGTAAATAGAACTATCATTTTACTACATCAGTTAGGCTTACAGAACTCTCAATTTTAGGACAACAGTTAGGCAAATAGACTTATCAGGTAAAGACAGAAAGTTTTGTACTATAAGTTTCAAAGTTCATGGGACTAACAAAAAAACTTTGATACATCGAGACTTTGGGTGGGTTATATGGACGTTTTTATGTGTATGGCTATATATTATTGATAACATGATATTTCTACCTGAATGAACGCAACAAATACCATAAGTTTAAATGAAAAAATACATTTTTATCTTTAAAAAAAAATTTCATTCATGAAAAAACATAACTTAAAATAGAAATCAACTGGAAATCCATCTTTCATATCACACACAGTATATGTCTTTTTTACGGTCAATATTAAACGAAACATTGTGCAGCACTAAAGTGGTCTTCACATGTAACAGTAATTAATTCAAGACTGATAAATGTTATAACCACTAATGATTTTAAAAGAAAGCAAATTAAAATCATCATGCATTATGTCCAGAAACAACACCACTAACATCACACATCTTCGGTTGTAGATATTACAGGAGTGTTTGCTGATGTTCTGACGATGGCTAGCCTGAATCATTCGAAGAATGCATGACTGACAGATAAATCACAATGTTTCTCATGCTTTTATGCTTAAAATGAGAAAAATAACGCTTCAGAAATGAGTGGTATTGTGAAACAAGTAATAGGATTTCCTCTGGTTGTTTTCCAAATTCCGTAAATTTGACCTAACTAAATGCTATCACCACAATGGCGGCGGTGAACATTACACAACGTCCCATTATCTTTGATTAAATATCATGGCTTGTAAGTAAGCAATTAAAGTTTTATCTGTGACCAGTCATTAATTAACCTTGTAACACAGAGCTAATGATTGTGGGCTATCAAAATCCCATTGTCAAGTAGCACTCTTCATTGAAATGTGTGAAATTTTGCCGCAGGGCAAAAATACCGGTACAGTGCAGGTAAATGGTGTGTTGGAATCATGAGGTGTCAATGACTGTTATCATAGCTTACGGTCCATGAAAAACTTAAGGAGGTAAGCTAGTAGTAATATATAGGAATAAAATTTGGGACAGGACGAAAACTGTGATACATCAAGGATTTTGAATCATTGACATTCGATTCATAGATGTTTGACTGTAAATTGTAAATTTCGGCACACACTTACAGCTACTTACCAAACTTAATATATAAACACCTGGCCCACTTCTGAAATCAGAAATAGAGAATAAGCTTATTTGTTGTACAAACAAAATAACAAAGTTTGGATAGACAGGAATAATTTGGTGTTTGCACTTTTAACACTTTTATGACCAATTATGAAACTCTCAGATGTTTTTCATTCAGGACAAATGAAAAAAAGGAGGGAAAAAGAGAAAAGTAAAAAAAATCAAAGTACTGAAAGTACTGAGAGGCTAAACGTATTGAAAAATGTTCACAAATAACCACTAAGATATATTACTTTCCCCATACTCCTACACTTTGGAATGGAAAATTAACTAAAATAAGAGAACCAGAGGCTATTTTTCTTAATTTTAAGCGATTTTATATCTTCTTTAATTCTTATTTCAAATTTGACGACAATAATGTGAATAAATAAAAATAGGTAAAAAAAAAACAACAAAATACACACAACAATATATTTATCGCTAACAAGCCAAATGACAAATAGTTCTATGATGAAGTTGACTAAATAAAACCTTCAAAATACCCAAGATGTTGCAACTACTATCCTATCAATATGAGGATTTAGACAAATCAAAAGGACTTTATACCTACTTCTTTATTTTGAATGTATTGCAAAGTAATAGTCCTTACTTATTATATTCATATTTGTAGTTGAGGAAAGTAGATAAGGTGTACACAGCATTTCAGATAGATAAAAGTGTAAGTAATTACATTAAATGTATTTACATGCCTATCTTCCTAGAAGTATCATGGTTAGACTTTTCTTCCAGTAATTACGTCTATGAAGGCATAGTTCTATGAGATTAAACCAGACTTCAATATATATACAAAATTTACAATATTTTCACTATAGCTACTATTATTTCTAATCTCCAATGCATTAGATAATGTCACCATGACACGCTAAATGAATAAATATGTTATGAAAATATTTCGTTTCAGTTAATTTATAATTATAAACATGAATATTTTGGTTTTTTTTTTATACACGCTTTGTTTGAAGGAATATTTTCATTTCAAGGAACTTTGATACACATTAACAAACATTGAGAAAACAGCACAATCAACCTTCATCAAATAAAACTAAAAGACAAAAAATACAGGTTATAACAAAGTCAACATCATGATCAGTACAGTATTGAAAATATATTATTCATAAATCATGAGCACCAAATGTACCTTGCCTACGAAGCGCAAACTTTTTATCTTCAAAAACTTGAAAAAGTGTCATGGCGGTGGATGTGAAAATCCTGAAAAAGTGTCATATCGGCGAGTGTGCGCGTAGGACGAACAGTCCAATTTTGTGACGTCTAATGAGGTAAAGTGATGTTATATATTAAGACGATCTTGCCACAACGACAAGGATTAAAGCAAAATTGATGTTCTGTTTGTACGTTTTGTTTGTTTATAAGTGCTGTTAGTTGATAATTCAAACCAAGCCACCAGACTAGCTTCTTATCATGGTGCCAACTCGCACGTACAGTGTTCTGTACGCTTACGTCATGTCGAGAATTCCGTAAAATATATTGTTCAAAATTTATCAATAGTTCAACCACACTGTGCTTCTTTTTTGAAATATATAGTAATCGTATTGTTATTAAAAAAATAAACTAATTTTGGATGCTTTTAAAATAGCGATTTGAAAAATCGCAGCATTATTTACGCAGAAAATTGCCGCTAGAGGGCTCTAACTCTTTTCGATATTTCAGCCAATGAGAAGGCCAGGATCGGTAAATTTTGTCTGAAAGGCCGTCACAATAGGCTATGTGTACTGAGTACGTTTAGCCTAAAAACCAGCAGTATCAGGGAAACTGATGAAAGCTCCCAAAAATAACTTGAATGGACCCAAAATTTAAACAAAGGGCAATAATTCTGTAATATGGATTCAGATTGCAGGCCCTGAATTTGGTATACTGCACATTCTCTTAGTAAGTATGACTATTGTATCCACAAAGTTTCATGATCCTTGTTTTAATGCGAGTAAGCCACATTGAAGACACAAAATCTTAATAAAAGACAATAACTCTGTAATTAAGAGGTTGTGGGCTCTGAAATTAGTATACTATACATTTTCTCAGTATGATCAATATATACATCAGGTTTCCTTATCCTTGTCTAAATGGGAGTAATTAAAAGTTGTGCTCTGGACGTGAAATTTCAATGCAAAGGGCAATAACTCTTTGAGGGGTTGAGGGTCCTGAATTTGGTACTCAACACAATGATTAATTTATACACTGAGTTTCTTGATCCTTGCTTCAATTTGGATTAAGTTATGCTCCAGACAAGAAATTTTTAAGAAAGGGCAATAATTATTTAACTGAGGGGGTCAAGGGCCCCGATTTGGTGCACTGCACATCGTTCTTGTATAATCAAAGTATATGCCAAGTTTCATTATCCTAGTTAATTTCAAGTAATTAAAAGTTCTGCACTGGACACGATATTTTATCAAAGGCAGTAACTCTGTAAATAAGGGGCTGCAAGTACACTGTACAATGTATACAAGTTACATGATCTGTTCTTAACTTTGGGCAAAGTTATGCACCATACACGAAAGAACAGATAGAAAAACAGACAAATGGATTTTTTTAGGAGCATAAAAACAACCATAAATAAATCTCACCTTTTGCCAACAAGCTTGATACCCAGTTGTCTGCCCTTGACTTTGTTAAGTGTAATTTTAAGGATTTCTGAAAAGATATAAAAGTACAAAGTTTGAATGTATTGGAGCTATCATGGCTGATTATAAATGTCACTCAAATGGAGTTGTCTCCCTTTGTCTGACACCCCCTCCCTTTTTTTGCTTTTTTGGTCAGAAAGTGTTTCTGTTGTATGGACATTGACCCAAACCTGTAAGTAGGGACCCAAGCTGGTATATTTTCTGTAATACTGACCTGTAATCCACTAAATAGCCAGACACATTTCTTATCATTTCTGATCTATCCATATCTCATGCTGAGCCAGACACAATATTGTATTGTTTATCCATTAAATACAAACAGTTAGTGATTATGTATTGGTCAATCAGCTAAAAACATCAATTATTTGTGTGAGTAAGAAACAAAAGAATGAGTAATACCGTGATTGACCTTAAAGGTCACACAGAGAGAACAGCCAATGATAATGAATCACCTTAGAACACCAAAACATTTATAGCAATTTTATTTTAAACAAAAATTTCACAAACTTTCCCCCAAAAAAAATCAGGAAAAACCAATTGCAGTGACGATAAGGCCATCAATCATGATGAGACTTGAGGAGAGTTGATGCTTTCAATTATATAAAAAGTGAATCTCAAGAACATTTCATCAGGAAATATACAGGAATACAACCTATGGTGTGACCTAACAGTATATACAGAGTCCTAACTTCCTTCTCTGTAGGCCTTCTCTCCTCCGCCTTCTCTGTAGGTCTTCTCTGCTCCACCTTCTCCCTATACACTGTCAGCCTACAGAAATGACCTATATACAGTGTCCTACCTTCCTTCTCTGTAGGCCTTCTCTCCTCTGCCTTCTCCCTATACACTGTCAGCCTACAGAAATGACCTATATACAGTGTCCTAACTTCCTTCTCTGTAGGCCTTCTCTCCTCTGCCTTCTCCCTATACACTGTCAGCCTACAGAAATGACCTATATACAGTGTCCTAACTTCCTTCTCTGTAGGCCTTCTCTCCTCTGCCTTCACCCTATACACTGTCAGCCTACAGAAATGACCTATATACAGTGTCCTAACTTCCTTCTCTGTAGGCCTTCTCTCCTCTGCCTTCTCCCTATACACTGTCAGCCTACAGAAATGACCTATATAGAGTGTCCTACTTCCTTCTCTCTGTAGGCTTATTCTCCTCTACCTTCCCTAATACATTAACTGCAACAGAACTGACCTATAGGCCTACTCTCCTCATCATTCTCCTTTTACCTTGTCACTATACACTGTCAGCCTACAGAGGTGACCTATAGTGTCCTACCTTCCTTCTATAGTCCTACTCTCCTCATCCTTCTCCTTTTACCTTGTCACTATACACTGTCAGCCTACAGAGGTGACCTATAGTGTCCTACCTTCCTTCTATAGGCCTACTCTCCTCCGCCTTCTCCTTTTACCTTGTCACTATACACTGTCAGCCTACAGAGGTGACCTATAGTGTCCTACCTTCCCTCTCTACCTTGTCACTATACACTGACAGCCTACAGAGGTGACCTATAGTGTCCTACCTTCCTTCTCTATAGGCCTACTCTCCTCCGCCTTCTCCCTGTATACTGTCAGCCTACAGAGGTGACCTATAGTGTCCTACCTTCCCTCTCTACCTAGTCACTATACACTGACAGCCTACAGAAATGACCTATAGTGTCCTACCTTCCTTCTCTATAGGCCTACTCTCCTCCGCCTTCTCCCTGTACACTGTCAGCCTACAAACTGGGTAGTACTGGCCTAAAAGTTGCTGTGCCTGGTAATGTGTAGCCTGAGTCAAATCTTCACCATTAACCTGAATGAATAAACACATAGACAAAATTTACATTTATTTTCAATTGTGTGTATCTTACAATCACCTTACACTAACAAACCAAATTTGGTCAAAATCAGACACTATCTAAAATTTTGACCAATGAAATGCACCAGTGGACATTTGAGATGCTGGAAGTTTTGTATGGAGTGTTTCAGTGTTTATAGCAATTCTGTTCTGGTCCTGCTACAAAGAACACTTAATGGCATACACAGAGCACTTACAGAAAAAAAGTGTGATTCAAATAGCCAGTACAGAGGAAACTGCTAAAATTGGGCTTAATTTCTGCTCCATGTTTCCATTACATTGAATAATTAATGACTGCACATGCACAGAAAAACCTTATCATTAGCTAAAAGCTGTCTAACTCAGCCAAACATACTTTAATACATTTGGATTAATTTTTTTCTAACTGTTTTCATGCATATTTCCTCTGTGTTTGTTTTATGATTTCATTTACGATCACATGAAAAGCACATGGTTTGTGATTACTATATTTAGGATCACATGACAAACACATGACTTTTTATTGCTATATTTAGGATCACATGACAAACAGATGGTTTTTGACTGCTACATTTAGGATTTCATGACAAAGAAATAAAACCTAACCTCTTGACTGGGTTCTATCTGAAAGAAGAATTCTCTTAGAAGTAAAACAGTACATACATTTCTGAGAGTACTGTTAAAATTACAGATATATCCTTATAAACTATCTGTGACTTTTAAAAAGTCACAAGAATACCATGGCCAAAATATTTTCAATCATTTACAGACTGAAGTTCAAATGGTCAGTTCTCATGATGACCTCCAATTACTGACACATTCACAGATGACCACAATTTCTGTGTCGTTGACACTAAATGATATCTTGTCAATGGACTTTTACTATAAGGAAGAATTACAAAGTTTGAGACATTTTTACAGTAAGTGTGATGTATATTTGTGTGGCCATTTTTCTACAGTGTATTCTGGCCTAATTGACTTGACTTGTCAAAATGTCATCGAACAACATTCTTGAATTAGTATGTACTCAATGACCTCTTTCTGCTTAGTACTGGCTGATGATAAAGCGTCAATATGCACTTAATGACCCTTTCCAAGGTTGCCCCAGTTTAACTGGAGCCATGGGTGTACATATATCTGGGTGTCATAACCTTTGGGAAGGGGTTGTTGTTGGAACCCAGTGAAACATAAAACAATTGGCAGGTCTTAAAATCTTTTCTCCGCGAGCCAATTTCTCATCAATTATTAAAACATCTTGTCCACATGGATATTACACCCTAGGAAACTGGTTAATTTTTCACCATAACTGATTATCTCAATATTTGTCCATCACAAATTTGCTCACCATATGTTAATACTTTATATTTGCTGTCATAATAATTTTCCCTCATTATGGAAGGTGAAATATGCCAGGCAATCTGCTCTGAAGATGCATTTCTGTGACAGAATCAAGTTTCTACTTCTTAAAAGTAAAGGCTGTTTCCGACATTTACAAACTTTCCACTTTCTTGTGTCTGTTTTTGCTTGATTAAATGTACATGTGCAGAAATATTTTAAATCTGATAAAAAAAAATAAAATAAAAATAGGACAGTATCCTTGTTGACAACAATTAGATTCTCACCTCTAGAATCTGGTCGCCTGGCAACAGCCTGCTGTCTTTAGCGATGACGCCATCTGGAAATATCTCCTGTATCACAATGCAAGCCTGAAGCAAAAAATATTTTTGATTGGACCATAACTGGTCATAAATCATCAGTATCTACAGGTAGTTAAGTCAGATCTGTCTCTCTGCTGGGCAATACCTACATTTAAAACCACCTCTTCTTGTAACAATTGAATTAAACTGATCCATACAAAGGTATAAAGATTCTTATGAATATATATCTAACTCTCTAAGGAGTCTGTGACATCTGAAAGAAGAAATTCCCTAAAATGAATAGCTTCAAAGGTATGATCAACTCTTGCTGTTCTTGTAGATATACCATTGTCTGATGGAGAACATGCCATTGGATGTCTTTGGCTCTTTCCATAAAAGTACAGGACATTTGTATACTGTTTTATATGATGAATGACAACCTAACAAATGGATATAAATGATATCATGTGGTCTAGATATATAGATATTAACTATTTTCCAACAAATGCAAAACAAGCTAGCAGCTTATATTAATCATTCTTTGTTGGCCAGGATATAAGTGCACAGTGGAGAACCACACTATTGTGTATTACACTAATGGAGAACCATACTATTGTGTATTACACTAATGGAGAACCATACTATTGTGTATTACACTAATGGAGATCCATACTATTGTGTATTACACTAATGGAGAACCATACTACTGTGTATTACACTAATGGAGAACCATACTATTGTGTATTACACTAATGGAGAACCATACTATTGTGTATTACACTAATGGAGAACCATACCATTGTGTATGACACTAATGGAGAACCATACTATTGTGTATTACACTAATGGAGAACCATACCATTGTGTATTACACTAATGGAGAACCATACTATTGTGTATTACACTAATGGAGGACCATACTATTGTGTATTACACTAATGGAGAACCATCCTTTTGAGTATTACACTAATGGAGAACCATACTATTGTGTATTACACTAATGGAGAACCATACTATTGTGTATTACACTAATGGAGAACCATACTATTGTGTATTACACTAATGGAGGACCATACTATTGTGTGTTACACTAATGGAGAACCATACTTTTGTGTATTACACTAATGGAGAACCATACTATTGTGTATTACACTAATGGAGAACCATACTATTGTGTATTACACTAATAGAGAACCATACTTTTGTGTATTACACTAATGGAGGACCATACTATTGTGTGTTACACTAATGGAGAACCATACTTTTGTGTATTACACTAATGGAGAACCATACTATTGTGTTCCACATTATGATCAATTAAACAAGATGTAGTAGGTACACTGATCTTAATGGTATAATAACGTCTCCATTCATCTGTACAGGCAGCTTAGCTCCCACTCCAGACCTTTGAAAGGATTATGTAAATCAGGAAGTAGGTTTTAAACAATACAAACGGAGTAATGGGCTGGTTTGATTGATGCCTGAAATATGTAACATGTAAAGAGCTAGTGTAGGTAGGGCGAGTCCCAGCATGACATCACATACAACAGGCTAGTTAAGGCTAATGGGAAATAGATTACTGATGGTGTCACAGGAAAACCATCTCTGAGGAACAGACACATCTTGAGGATATTTTCAAGGCAAAACACTGAAACAAATCTCATCTAATCGGGGATTTAATTTAAATGAACTCTGTATACTGTAGGACATAAGGAGCTTTTACAACAATTAATCTTAAAGTCACAGTCTTAAATAAATTGGACCACTTAGACCAGGAGACACAAGTCTGATAAACATGACGTAAGAGATAGCTTTGACACTAATGGGCGATCTTTGTTTAACAAGCTATAATCTAAAAACATAGTTAAGAAACTTTTATATCATGAATTCTAAAATCAACAGGTATCATTTTCTATGTTAATGCTCAATTATATGACCTATGACCTTTGTGACCTTGCTTACTAAATACCATCTGACAGACATGACCTATGACCCTAATGTGACCTTGCCAACCATAATATCTGACAGATAAGATCATATGACTAATCACCTTCTAATCTGAACTTAATCACTCAATGATGTCAGTGGGACATGGCCTATGTCCTCATAATGTGACCTTGCCTATCAGATAACACCTGACACATATGACCTAACTCACCCGAAAAACCTCACAATGTCTGGTCAATTTACCCCATCTTAACAAATGTGATGAAAACTTATGATTCAAATGAGCATTGTAAAGAAAACTGAACAGGTTGTCTGGCTAACTAAAAAAGGCATATTGTAGCCATCCACAACACTGGTGCCAAAGTTGTCATGCTAACTAAAAAAGGCATATTGTAGCCATCCACAACACTGGTGCCAAAGTTGTCATGCTAACTCAAAAAGGCATATTGTAGCCATCCACAACACTGATGCCTAAGTTGTCATGCTAACTCAAAAAGGCATATTGTAGCCATCCACAACACTGATGCCTAAGTTGTCATGGCTACCTACAAAAGGCATATTGCAGCCACCAACAACACTGATGCCCAAGTTGTCATGGCTACGTAAAAAAAGACATATTGCAGCCACCAACAAAACTGATGCCCAAGTTGTCATGGCTACCTACAAAAGACATATTGCAGCCACCAACAACACTAATGCCCAAGTTGTCATGGCTACCTACAAAAGACATATTGCAGCCACCAACAACACTGGTGCCCTAGTTGTCATGGCTTCATACAAAAGGCATATTGCAGCCACCAACAACACTGGTGCCCAAGTTGTCATGGCTACCTACAAAAGGCATATTGCAGCCACCAACAACACTGATGCCCAAGTTGTCATGGCTACCTACAAAAGGCATATTGCAGCCACCAACAACACTGGTGCCCAAGTTGTCATGGCTACCTACAAAAGGCATATTGCAGCCACCAACAACACTAATGCCCAAGTTGTCATGGCTACATACAAAAGGCATATTGCAGCCACAAACAACACTGGTGTCAAGTTGTCATGGCTACCTACAAAAGGCATATTGCAGCCACCCACAACACATGCCCAAGTTGTCATGGCTACATAAAAAAGGCATATTGCAGCCAACAACAACACTTGTGTCAAGTTGTCATGGTTACCTACAAAAGGGATATTGCAGCCACCCACAACTCTGATGCCCAAGTTGTCATGGCTACCTACATAAGACATATTGCAGCCACCAACAACAAAGTGCCAGTTGTCATTGCCAACTAACAGAGGAATTTCACTCACCAACAATACTGATGATCAGTTGTCATGGCTACTTACCAGGGCATCACAGCCAACCACAACACTGGTACCTGGTCTTTATCTCTATATACCTACCAGAGGGGTGTCACAGCCACCAACAACACTGATGCCTGGTCTTTATCACTATATACCTACCAGGGGTGTGTCACAGCCACTCACAACACTGATGCCTGGTCTTTATCACTATATACCTATCAGGCGTGTGTCACAGCCTCCCACAACACTAATGCCTGGTCTTTATCACTATATACCTACCAGGGGTGTGTCACAGCCACCCACAACACTGATGCCTGTTCTTTATCACTATACACCTACCAGGGGTGTGTCAAAGCCACTCACAACACTGATGTCCTCATTGTCATGGCCATACCTATCAGGCGTGTGTCACAGCCACTCACAACACTGATGCCTGTTCTTTATCACTATATACCTACCAGGGGTGTGTCACAGCCCCCTACAAACAACTGATGCCTGGTCTTTATCACTATATACCTACCAGTGGTGTGTCACAGCCACCTACAACACTGATACCTGGTCTTTATCACTATATACCTACCAGGGGTGTGTCACAGCCACCTACAACACTGATACCTGGTCTTTATCACTATACACCTAGCAGGGGAGTGTCACAGCCTCCCACAACACTGATACCTGGTCTTTATCACTATATACCTACCAGGGGTGTGTCACAGCCACCCACAACACTGATGCCTGTTCTTTATCACTATACACCTACCAGGGGTGTGTCAAAGCCACTCACAACACTGATGTCCTCATTGTCATGGCCATACCTATCAGGCGTGTGTCACAGCCACTCACAACACTGATGCCTGTTCTTTATCACTATATACCTACCAGGGGTGTGTCACAGCCCCCTACAACACTGATGCCTGGTCTTTATCACTATATACCTACCAGTGGTGTGTCACAGCCACCTACAACACTGATACCTGGTCTTTATCACTATATACCTACCAGGGGTGTGTCACAGCCACCTACAACACTGATACCTGGTCTTTATCACTATACACCTAGCAGGGGTGTGTCACAGCCTCCCACAACACTAATGCCTGGTCTTTATCACTATATACCTACCAGGGGTGTGTCACAGCCACCCACAACACTGATACCTGGTCTTTATCACTATACACCTAGCAGGGGAGTGTCACAGCCTCCCACAACACTGATACCTAGTCTTTATCACTATATACCTACCAGGGGTGTGTCACAGCCTCCCACAACACTGATGCCCAGGTCAGCCTGTGTGCGTTGGATTTCTATGGTGGACACCTCGCCATCCATCACTGGGTTCTTGCCTGTAAGGAGGAAATAAACATGGTCGTGAACACAACGAATAATGTCTGGTCCCATCTCTGTAAGTGACTCCTTAGTTAAACAGTGACGCTGCCTGTTGTTAAACTGGGCCAAGTTTCTCTCCAAACGTGAGCTTGTCATTGTCAGTCTGGTAAAAGTAAAACGCAACTGTGATCAAGTGTAAACGTCTGCCTCCATTATATATACATGCAGTATCACGTCACTGTCCAAATGTTTTGGCAAGATACAACGTAAGTGAATTTAGGACAGCGATGGCATGTAAGCATTACTCATGAAGAAATTGATTCTGACACAACACAGATAGTGAGTAACCCCATTTACGAAGAAAACAAAAACATGATGTGATGTTCAATACTCCACCAAGTCACCCCAGTGATGTACCAGTCCTGCACCCTAACGTCAGTCTATGTCACTGCTAACCCCAGGTCCCGATATATCAAATAACATCACACAGAACCATTTGGTTCAAAATAGTTTTTGTAGCATCAAAGAACATGATTCAAACAACAATTCACAAGGAAAATGAGCCCCCGGTAGCAAGCTGCATCTATACAGACAAATGTTCACTCCAATGCATTCTCTTGCAATATTATGCATTTTTTATCAATGTTAGTCCTAAACACAAGATTGTATTCAGCATAACAATAAAATCTCAATAATGTGTACAAAGAGCACGATATAAAATCCTAAAAAAAATGTAGCGTCAAGATAGTCAGATTTGTTTTAGAATACTAAAAACATTTCAATTGCAAAAAACAATAGGTTTTTTTTCGTGTCAATAGTTTTTTCCCCAGTTTCAAGTTTTTATTATGAGAATTAACAATTGTTTCAGAAAGATACCACCTCGATCAAAGATGTAAAGATTTCACAAACAAGCAAAAAAAAACAAAAAAATTACAATAAAAAGCCTTATATGACAAAATTTTACATCAACGAAATCTTTTGTGACAAAATTTTAAGCCAACCTAAACTTTCTGTTACGAAACTTTTAGCCAACCAAAAACCATCTTTGACCAAACTTTAAGCAACTAAAATATTCTGTGGCAAAACTTTACACCAACCCAGTCTTCCTGTGACAAAAACAAAACCTTATATGACAAATCTGTAAGCCAAACAAACCCTTCCGTGACAAAACTTTAAAGCTGACAATGCAAATTAAAAATGTTGAGTAAAAAAATATATTTTTTAGAATGCTTTCGAGACCTGCTCCCGAAGTTAACAATATCTTCCGGTCATCGTATCTAAGGAACTGGTTGACATTTTAGTCCGAGCCTTGTATAGAAACGAGTATAGACATCTCAGGGTATAAAAGGCCTGCGACCTGTCCAACCAGTTATCATAATGTCGGTTCAATGTAACTAAAATCATAAATTTCAATGTCGGTGCAATGTAACTGTTAGGTACATCGTGTAAGAACATTTACTTGCTTCCAATTTTTTTATTCCAAGTCAGTGACATACAGATACAATATTAGCCAAACAACAGAAATACACATTTTACAGTAAAACCAACTTGTGTTGAACATGCTTGAATCGAATATATCAGATAAGTCAAATGTGTTGTTCCGTTTCAAATTTTTTTGTTCTTCATCTTAGTAAATTAAACATGGATGATTCAAACACTGTTGAGTCAAATACTGCATTTGTGTTGAATATATTCTGTGGTCAATCCCTTCTAAATTATACAAAAATTTCCTTTTTGTTGAAGAGCCCTTTTGTAATTTGTGATCAAATATTAATCCTTGTGTTTACACAGGTGCACAGGTGAAATTTAGAATTTATACAGTAAAAGGCAACCAAACTTAAAACAAAATGCACTGTAGTCTGTTAAACGTAAATCTACCGTGTTTTTATAATGCGCATATGCCTGTCGGAAAACAAAGGAAAAAACAAGCAATAACTATTGCCAATGCAGATTGATAAAAGACTGGTTTGTCATTGACACATTTGTTTCTGATTTTAAATATATGTACTGATATACATGTACATATAAAGGTTTTATTTTATTCTATTTTACAGTTACAATCTTGTGGTGCTATACATGTGAAGTAATGCTTCAGTGCTGTTGCCTTCACCTTTGCGTAGCTCACCTCACTGCTATCAATATTATATCAATGTAGAATGCTCATAAGTACGTATTTATTGAGCTTTATTTTAAAATATTGATGACGGGACTTGTTACTGTTAAGGATATAAATGTCCATACAATATTTGTATTACTTTAGGTATCAATTTCACTAAGTATTCGTATGAGAGTGGGTGTGTTTACGCATGTGTGTGTTGCAATTTAATGACGAGTGTTTCACATTACATTTTTTGTTTTGTATTCGTACTTATAACTGTTTATTTAAATAAAAGATATTGTTAGTGTATAAAATTACAAATTTTTTTTATTTATGTATAACTAATTCATTACTGTCATGGTATGAGACACCTATCTGGTTAACAACCGATGAAAATATTGTCAATCTTCGATGCAAAATATCTCTAATCATAGAAACACAGCTAAGACGAACCATCGGATAAGTGGAATATTTCCTTTGGTCCCGTCGACTTCTACTTATCCATGTTTTACTGTATTTACATTACAATTTACACACTTCGAGTCGTGGGTTTTAGAGGAATAAACAAACAACATATCAACAAATGAATTACTATAGCATACCCTACCTTACATAATAAGCTTTACTATTTCCCCTTCAGAAAAAGAGTTCACTCGACAAATTTTACACAATCTACGAAAGGTCACCACTTAGCATGAGTTTTACTCGTTAAGCATTTACATGACCAAGATTGAAGAGAAAACAAATAACAATCATATGTTATACAGCATTTTTCAGAGTTTAATACACATGCACATGTTTCTGGTTATATGTGATGGAATGAAGGGAGTTTGGTGATTTTCAGTTTTTTTATATTTCTAAAATATATTTTTGGATAACTGAAAAGTATTGATCATCTCCATGTAACTTCAAAGTCCTCAGATGAATTCAATCTTTTTAGGTCACGCGTATGTTTTATAATATACAGGTGAGTTTCACTTTCACTCGGGCAGTCAATGTTGAAATGAACACCAGTTTTACAGGCTTATACCATGGGATGCCCATACTCATTTCCAAGCAAGGCTTGCATGTAAATCTCTACCACTTCCTTAGATACGCTGACCTGAAGATATCGTTATCATAGGGGCGTCTCCGAACCTTTTTTTTTTTTTTACCTCAAAATGAATTATTTTTAACTTGCATTTTAGATTTAAGCCAAACAAAACTTTCTTTCACAAAACTTTCAGCCAAGCAAAACTTTCTGTGATGAAACTTTGATGCCTACCAAGACCTTCTTTGGCAAAACTTTCAGCCAAGCAAAACTTTCTGTGACAAAACTTTAAAGCAACCAAAACCTTTCATTGTCAAATTATCTTATTCGAGTAATGTTGATGTAATATGTCTGTATGGATTAAAAGTTTACCATATTCTACAGATGTATGAACTTTTCACATTACTTGTTAGAATTGCTAACAATGACCGATACAAATATGGGGACTGCATCTCTCGAAAATTCAAAGTCTACTTCTGACATGATTCTCTATCTGTTATCTGTGCTTCTACAATTAAAATTTGGATTTGTCTAAATAGGACACTGGACAGTACATAGCTAAAATACAGATAGAGCACAACTGCGAATACCAGTCTTTGTTTTTCTTTAAGTTCTTTTGACGACTGCCGAATTCGTTGAGTTCCTGTTATGTAACTACAGGCTATCTTTAGAACACCAATATTTGGTTTTTCCGAACGTCTGCAATAGTGCTGTTGATTTATGAGAATCACATTAGGTGTTTACGTAAGTATGCACCCATTACCCTTTGAAATCAATGTCAGTCGACGGCCAGGCATTTGTTGTATGACAAATACACATTAAACATGCCAGCACCATCAATCCGTTTTTTTAACTACATGGTATAAATGCCTTTGCCAATAATAGTTTTTGTCTCTTGCAGGCTCCCAGACACTGCACGTTTATCTTGATGAACTCCACACAGGCAGAAACTCCACGTGACTTGCCCTTAGAGTGACATGGACATGTGTGATTGCGTGCAAAGGTCTTCGAACTCATTCATGTTTATTAGGAGGAGGCAGTCATTTCTTACGAGCATAACATTGTTGTTGCAGTACGTTTTGTCTTAGCAGAATTTTCTATCAAAATTCAGTATTGGAGGATTATATAAATCTGTCAAATTGTTAATTAAAACCCTAAAAAGCCTGTGAGATACAACTTTGGCACTTTTCAACATTTAGATATTATGAAATTTTCTTTTTGTCATTTGCTAGATCGAGTAAATGATGTACCAAATAGCTGATAGTTTTCAGAGGTCAAAATGTTTGGGATTTTCTTTAAAACAAAAACGGAATTATATTTTTACTGAAACAAAATTCCGTGGTAAGTTGTAATACACACCAATGCATCTTATTCCTCCAAGCATTAAATTGCCATGATCATGTTTGTTATGTAGAATAGCAAAAATGTCATCCCCAGGAAAATCATGGCCTATACCATTTTTTAACTGACTTCTATTTCCCTATATTTTCAGACAATGGTTTTTTGATAACTTGGATCTATATAATGATGTTATTGTTTGAATTTTTTTCTGACTCTTTATTAAAGATCACTGTTTGAGCGTGTAGACCACAAATATGTCACGTCTCTTTTCAAGTGACAGCTTAATAGTATCTACAATCATACACCTAAGTGTATACATAATCAGGAAATATGCCCCGGACATCAGCGATGTAGGATAGGTGACAATGACATATGTCAATCAACATAGCAGGTAAAAATCACACAGGTAACATAAAATAGGTCACAGCATTCTTACTTATAATATATCTCCACAAGATTCACCTATATTTCCTTTCCCGATTTCAATTTTTCTATCAATGCCGGACAGATGTAGATGACATTCAGAAAGTAAAAGTTTTCAGACAAATGGAAAGATTTTTGCAGTACATTGAGAGTGGTTTTTGTGGATCAGTGGAGTTGACTAGAGAAGTGGTCGTAGGATTTATAAAATGGAGTGGTTTTGTGGGACAAATGGTGTGTAGTTTTTGTGTTACTAGTGGAATGGTTGTTATGGGACAAGCAGAGTGGTTTTTGTGGGACTAGTGGAGTGATTTTTGTGGGACTAGTGGAGTGATTTTTGTGGGACTAGTGGAGTGGTTTTTGTGGGACTAGTGGAGTGGTTTTTGTGGGACTAGTGGAATAGTTGTTATGGGACTAGTGAAGTAGTCTTTTTGGGACTAGTGCAGTGGTTTTTGTGGGACTAGTGCAGTGGTTTTTGTGGGACTAGTGGAGTGGTTTTTGTGGAACTATGTTTTTTTGACTTTTTTTGGACTGTGAGTGTTTTTTGTGGGACTAGTGCAGTGGTTTTTGAGGGACTAGTGGAATAGTTGTTATGGGACTAGTGGAGTGGTTTTTGTGGGACTAGTGGAGTGGTTTTTGTGGGACTAGTGGAGTGTTTTTTGTGGGACTAGTGGAGTGTTTTTTTTGGGACTAGTGGAGTGGTTTTTGTGAAACTAGTGCAGTGGTATTTGTGGGACTAGTGGAATAGTTGTTATGAAACTAGTGGAGTGGTTTTTGTGGGACTAGTGGAGTGGTTTTTGTGGAACTAGTGCAGTGGTATTTGTGGGACTAGTGGAATAGTTGTTATGGGACTAGTGGAGTGGTTTTTGTGGGACTAGTGGAGTGGTTTTTGTGGGACTAGTGGAGTGTTTTTTGTGGGACTAGTGGAGTGTTTTTTTTGGGACAAGCAGAGTGGTTTTTGTGGGACTAGTGCAGTGGTTTTTGTGGGACTAGTGGAATAGTTGTTATGGGACTAGTGGAGTGGTTTTTGTGGGACTAGTGGAGTGGTTTTTGTGGGACTAGTGCAGTGGTATTTGTGGGACTAGTGGAATAGTTGTTATGGGACTAGTGGAGTAGTTTTTTTGGGACTCGTGCAGTGATTTTTGTGGGACTAGTGGAGTGGTTTTTGTGGGACTAGTGGAATAGTTGTTATGGGACTAGTGGAGTGTTTTTTGTGGGACTAGTGGAGTGGTTTTTGTGGGACTTGTTGAGTGGTTTTTGTGGGACATGTGGAGTGGTTTTTTTTGGGACTAGTGGAATAGTTGTTATGGGACTAGTGGAGTGGTTTTTGTGGGACTAGTGCAGTGGTGTTTGTGGGACTAGTGCAGAGGTTTTTTGGGACTAGTGGAGTGGTTTGTTCGGAACTAGTGGAGTGGTTTTTGTGGGACTAGTGGAGTGTTTTTTGTGGGACTAGTGGAGTGTTTTTTGTGGGACTAGTGGAGTGATTTTTGTGGGACTAGTGGAGTGGTTTTTTGTGGGACTAGTGGAGTGTTTTTTGTGGGACTAGTGGAGTGGTTTTTGTGGGACTAGTGGAGTGGTTTTTGTGGGACTTTTCGACCCTATATATTCTCTGCAATCCAACATCTGATAATGTCACTTATTTCATATATGTAATGCTTATTATCGCTTTATTTGCCGACTATCACAAAAAAAAAAAAACTAAAGGTCAATCACGGTTAAGTGAGTACAGGTTCTATGGATTCATGCCTAAGGGTCATATGTCACACCTCGACACCTCATGTAAACATCGTCAATGCCCTACTGGCCTACTTTTCACAACTTGCAACTCCCAAACAAAAAAGATTGACCTGCTTACCTCTAAGGTCCAGCTAGGTTGAAGGGAGTCTTGTGTGTTTGTTTATTAAATTGGCTAGTGCATTCCAAGTGTTAAAAGTGGGTTTTAAACTCTTGTCACTTGGAACTTGTCACGATGCAACCAATGTTGGATGCCACTAAGTTTTCCAATGTGTCCGACGTGCTGCCAAAACTTCTTGAAAATAAGACTTTGGTATGGATACCAGGATGGATTTCAAAACAAAAATGATTATTTTACAAAACACATTTCTGAAAATAATCTACCATGAACCATAATTTACGATAAATTGTGTTTGTTTTGTCTCTTTTTACAATGATCAATTGGACACCAAACCGCGGCATGTCAATGTCGTCATTACGAATGTCGCTTTCTTTAAATTTATGAGAACACATTTTTGATACAAAGCTGAAAATGTAAAATAGCCAATTTGAACTTCAGGTTTCGCGAAATGAAATCTGGATTAAGTATAATTTATGATACAAAATTTATCACATGTGCCCCGAAAAGCTTCACTGGGCAGCTTACATCTTTGCTGACAACATCATAATTTTCTCAGATGATTCGTTCAGGGTGAAAAAAAGTTTTGTATGGATTTAAGATTGGAAACCGAATTGGTCAAAATATTAGAATATCGTCATTTAAATATTTCTTCAAATCTTATATTGCTTAAATTAACGCAAGCACTGTTGAGTATTATGTTCTGAAATTAGGTTTTTAAAAATTATAAAACATTAAACATTCAACATTAAAAATAGCCACTAATTTAACAGCCAATGAAACGTGGCATTTCAAAGGTGACAAGTTCACACTTTGCGGGCTATTTTTGCTTGCAAGGCATGAGTTGTGATCTTCAGAAAATATTTTTACCAAAGTGTGATGATACACCATTATGAGGCCTATACAATAGGATAAATAAATCATACTGCAAAACATCAGCTGTTGACACGGTATTGTCACATAGAAATCTGACCATGCGTAAACTGACATGAATTGTCATGATCGTTCATGATAATTCATGACAGCAGGTTAGATATTTCAAAGAATAAACAAACAAAATTCAGGGAAAACCACTGTTTTTATAGGAAAAACAAATCAAATTACAAATTAATTTTCTTCAAACAACTTCGGTTAGAAACAAGTTAGTTTGCCTCAACTGAAAATTAACTTTTTGGGTTTAGACGTCTGCAAAAATGTGTAAACTCTTTATGTCACTTTCTGCTTATTATTACATTTCCACCTGACATATGGAACATGATCTTAAGCAGATTTCACTGTAGTATGTTTTGGTACTAGCAGAAGAGTTTTTGTGGGACTAGTAGAATAGTTTTTTTTTGTAGTAATAGTAGAATAGTTTTTAGTGGGACTAGTAGAATAGTTTTTGTGGTACTAGTAGAATAGTTTTTGTGGGACTAGTAGAAAAGTTTTTGTGGGACTAGTAGAATAGTTTTTGTGGGACTAGTAGAATAGTTTTCGTGGGACTTGGACTAGTAGAATAGTTTTTGTGGTACTAGTTGAATAGTTTTTGTGGGACTAGTAGAATAGTTTTTGTGGGACTAGTAGAATAGTTTTCGTGGGACTGGTAGAATAGTTACTGTGGGACTAGTAGAATAGTTTTCGTGGGACTAGTAGAATAGTTACTGTGGGACAAGTTGGATAGTTTTTGTGGGACTAGTAGAATAGTTTTTGTGGGACTAGTAGAATAGTTTTTGTGGGACTAGTAGAATAGTTTTTGTGGGACTAGTAGAATAGTTTTTGTGGGACTAGTAGAATAGTTTTTGTGGGACTGGTAGAATAGTTACTGTGGGACTAGTAGAATAGTTTTCGTGGGACTGGTAGAATAGTTACTGTGGGACTAGTTGAATAGTTTTTGTGGGACTAGTAGAATAGTTTTGTGGGACTAGTAGAATAGTTTTTTTGTGGGACTAGTAGAATAGTTTTTGTGGTACTAGTAGAATAGTTACTGTGGGACTAGTTGAATAGTTTTTGTGGTACTAGTAGAATAGTTTTTGTGGTACTAGTAGAATAGTTTTTTGTGGGACTAGTAGAATAGTTTTTGTGGGACTAGTAGAATAGTTTTTTTTTGGAACTAGTGGAGCACCTACCTCCATCTTGGTCCCTATATTGACACTCCCATAGATGACTCTGTAGGGCACTTCTTGGCCCCTGGAATGTACAGCCAAGACTAGACTTTATACATCGGGTAACAGCACCACGACACCTGTAAATAGAAACCATCATCTCTTCATGCTCTAGGGTACCACCCACTAACCACAGATCTCCACAGCTCCCATGCTATGACCTAAAGGCGTTGAACATTTATTTATGGTCCCCGGGGTCGGACACACGAGATCGTTGTAAGTCTGAAAGTCAGGATTGTATGATCAAGTAACAGTTGTGGGAATATGTGATCATCCACATTTCCATGTCTTGATAAAGAAATAAAGTGCTTTATGGGGCTGAGTTAGACTCCAGGGCCAATCCTGGCAGAATATCAATATAACTGTACCAGTTATAACCGAAACATATGTTAACAGATTAAATGACTGCATATTTCAGAAAAGCATTTTACTAACACATCATACTGTTGTTCTTTTTGAGAGTTTGCGATTTTCAAAGATGGAATCAAAATGTTAAAACATAGACCATTTCAATAATTTCAACAACAGAAACAATGACTAACTACATAACTTCTGTGAAAAAGGAGATGAAAATCGAACAAAACGACCTTCACAGCAACACAACAAAAATACCTGTGAAGTAGATGTGCCTCAAGTTCAGAACGTGGCAGAACTTCCTCGCAATAGTCGACATTGGGGCACACCACCAACAGCTTGTCCAACAACCTGCAACCACAAAACAGCACACCATAAACATACTATTTTTGATATTTCTATTTACAAATTTCAATGGATGTCAGTTATTGTTTATGTTGTAAGCTACATTTATCTGAGAGTAGGATTGGATCAGTTGGTGGTTAAGTCCTAATATCACTCTCGTAGTATCTGTAGTGACTGGTAACCAGCTGCTTCACAATCAATCTGTTAATGAGTTAGTCATTAGGTGCCAATCACCAAAATTATCAGCCTTGTGTAGCAAAGGTTTAAGTTCAACTGTTGTTTAGTTTACAATCTGCTGTAGTAAAGGTTTAAGTTCAACTGTTGTTTAGTTTACAATCTGCTGTAGTAAAGGTTTAAGTTCAACTGTTGTTTAGTTTACAATCTGCTGTAGTAAAGGTTAAAGTTCAACTGTTGTTTAGTTTACAATCTACTGTAGTAAAGGTTAAAGTTCAACTGTTGTTTAGTTTACAATCTGCTATAGTAAAGGTTTAAGTTCAACTGTTGTTTAGTTTACAATCTGCTATAGTAAAGGTTTAAATTCAAGTGTTGTTTAGTTTACAATCTGCTATAGTAAAGGTTTAAGTTCATCTGTTGTTTAGTTTACAATCTGCTGTAGTAAAGGTTTTGATTTGACTGTATAGCTTAACTTTCTTATTTCATGCTACTAAGTTATCAGGTTTTTTTCTTTTTAGTCTAAACCCATAATTCTGTAAACACTTCACACATCACAAAAAACATGAGATATTTTGACAGAAACATCATTCTGGATATTTATCACCTTGTAGTAAATGATTTCCGTATCAAATAATGTAACAATCAGCCTAACAACAAAACAAACAGAGGAATCTCATATCAAACAACATTTGTCATATATCAACGTTTTTTCTACTGTTAATGAAACAAACAAGGAAATGTCTCGGGCATTAATCCTCCCACTCTCATGTACACCAGAACTGTACACCAGAACTTTATAAGTGTAGAACATCGTGTATTAAACTGGCTTTGTTTATTGTTGATTTTCATCCTATTACAGCCACGGACATCTTAGTGGACAAGCTAGGTTTGAGTAATGAAGGAAAGCCAAAGTTCCTAAAGAAGAACCACTGACCAGCAGCCAGTACCTGGTGACTGCCCCATGTAAGCTTTGAACCTGTCACCAGACGTGGAGGGTTTGTGATTAAGACAGTCGGACGTTATACCCACTTTACCATTGTGGCCCTGTTTTGAAAATGTGGGGTAAGTATGATCCAAATCTGTTGAGATTCTCAAAGTATAAATAACACTGACCTGGAATGCAAAAAATGATGGGAGGGGCAATGAATGACTGGAGAAAAAGGTGGGCGGGGCATAAGCAGGAAGTGAGATTGACAAGTGAGAGACTATAGAATGATTTCTTTCCATTGTAACTAACATTCTTACTTAGAGAAACACAACATACTTACATATCAAATATTAATGAGTTATCACTTCATATGAGATTTTAAGAAACCAGCAAAATTGAAAACTTTTGATAATGCATAAACCAATATATGGAATGAAAACAAATTCAAGAAACTGTTTATCACATAACTCAAACAAGTTATATTTTGACAGGTTTTCCAGTCAAAAAAATGGAAGACAAAATCAAACTGAGGCAGCGATGTTGTTGTGCCATTTTCAATTCATGACGTACAGTAATTGTCCATATTACGACATTACAATCAAGTTTTGACTCATGCAGCCAATGAAAATACTCAAGGATATATCTACTACATAAGTGACAAATGTTAAAATATCACAAGGGCAGATTCACTGGATAACAGAATGATTATGTGATAAATGTCAACAACGAAATCTATGACGAACAATAAGCAATGTTTTGCCACATGGACGTGAACAATTTATCAATAGCTACACAGCCAGGTAGCCGAAACAATGAAATTTTACGGCAGTTATTTGTCGGGTCAATATGACATTGCTATAGTAACAGATTTACTCCTGGGTACCTGTTATCATCGCCAAATGTTGATACGTCTATCTATCATAACTTTACGCCACGATAATATCATCTATCCAACAATAATTTGAAATGTACAGTCGTTACATGATGTGCGATGTGTGCACAATGTCTGCATTATATGCACACAATGTATGCACTGTAGTAAAAGAGGAAGAAATTTGCTATCGCACATCTGTACACTAGAGAGGCTATTTAATGTTCAGGGTCTGGTCGAATTTCGATAACATAACTGTCAAATTAAAAACGGCCTTTATTCTTTATCATCACCAAGCTTTAATACACCTATTGTCTCTGTTTACTCATAACTACACAAGCTTTCAGTTTAGTTTTCAATTCATGATATTAATCACCCATTTCTAACAACCCACACGAAATGTGTGATTGTATCGCACATTTATACACTAGTTCCTATATCGTCATGCAGTGTGTGATGCGACGATGTGCAGATAATATTAATGAACAATATTGGCAGAAGTTTCAGTTTTAACTTAATAAATGGATTGGACATGACAAATAGGTTTGATGTTTGGTGACAGGCTACCATTAGGTGTTAAAGCACTATTTCTATATGTTTAATATAATTTCGGGCAAAGCCTATGCGAGATTGCAGTAGGTGGGTCGAATGTTGTTTTAGACAACATATATATCTAAACCAGTACAGATCATCTATCACTTTACTGGAGTTGATCGTAGGAGTCGAAACGAGGAAGCGGGCCCAGATGAACAGTCAAGGTTACTATGTGTGGAGTCCAAAAACCACGAAACTGTGCTGTTAATTTTCATGTAAACATTATTTCATTATCTCCCTTGAACATAACTTTGAATGCAGTCATGCTCAACAGCATTTATGGTAAACAACTGGTTCTTGTTGTTGTTGAGAAATCTTTTTCAGTTATACGTTTAGATGAATTTTCAGAGATTTTTCTCTTCTAGCTGCGCTTTCTATCATTTTTGTAGAAATTCATTTGCCTTTATATTCCCAATACTTATATATGACAACTAACAGCCTCATATTTGCCAAATAATTGAACTTTTCTGATCAATAACAATCAGTTGTGAACTCTCATTTCCTTAATCAAAATTATTATGAGTACACGATACTAAAATATAAGGAAACCTTCATCCATTTGCTGTCCTTTCATAATATTTGCCTTTGCCCAATATTATATTTGCCCAAAAAACAATGACATGCATTTTTTATTTCAAATGTGAAAAGCTAAATTATGTCAGAATGAATACAGGAAAGCTATGTTATGTTAAGTTGACAACATGAACATCTGGTGAGGCCTTAGTGACAGTTATCAGCATTTCTACATTGACCACATGTGTCTGGCTTTCATTGATAGACAACACTGGGTAGCTAATGTGGTCATTTGCCTTCATTAGAGGTTTGTTTCTGGGACCATCTGATACTGAGAACTTTGGCCTTAGTGAATTCTTTTAGATCCCCAGTGTCACCAGATAGACAGAAAATTCTAACCTACAAACAGGTCAGAGGTTAAGGTTTAAAACCACATCACCACAGATGTCAGAGGTCATACATAAAACAATACATTATCACTGAAAAGATGTCAAAGGTCATCAATACCCAGGGTCATTACAGAAAAAATTGTTTTAGATTTCAAGGCCATGACAAACAAACAGCTACAACATGAGATTACAGAGCAAAAAACACAAATAATAAAAAAAAAAAAAAATCAGAAATATCACAGCTAAGGACGACCTTGGACATAACTGACCAGAATTCTCTGTGGTCACCAATAGCAGGTCCAGAAACCCTTTTGAGGTGATCATATAGTAAAGAGGTGCCCCTGGCAACCATCAGGTCCAAAGGTTCCCTGAAGGCCATCAAATCTAGAGGACACTGAGAGGACCGTCAGATCCAGAGGTCTCTAAAGCATCCATAAAGGCTTCTAGATGACCATTAGATCCATGGATCTCTGAGGTGACCATCATGTCCAGGGATCTCCACTGTAACCATCAGGTCCAGAGGTCACTAAGGTGACTGTCAGGTGCAGAGACCTGCAAGTTGACGATCAGGGCCAGAGGTGTAAACTGAGACAGGAAAAAAGCATTTATAAGAGATACTGTTGGTTGACAACAGCAGAATGTAACCCACAGTCAGAACAAAGGAGGTTATCGGATACAAAGTGTTCTAAAGTGTTTGAGATACTTGACATAATTACAGCATTATATAGAACAATGCCAAAAAGCTTCGAAGAATTCCCTCGTGAAAACGGTTCAAATCTGGACACAGACAAATCAATGATTAATATAAGGAATCTAACACAGTTCTGTATCTGAACTAAGCCCCAACTCCATCTACAATTCTGGTCATGTCGATTGGATGTTAGGCAATGGTTGTAAGTGAGACATGACTGGCAGTCAGACATGTCACAAATAAACCTTTTCTCTTGTTTCCTTTAACAACATACACATTAACCGATTCTCTGGTATCTTATTAACTATAAATCATAATATTTCAATGAAAGAATGTTCATAAAAAACGAATAAAGTTGATTAAAAAGTTTTTTTTATTGAGCATTTAGATCTGAAGGTAATCAATGCTTCATATTGATCAAAAGAGGTAATTCTGTAAGGGTTTCATAAATTCAGGAACCTTACATTCCTAAAAATACTTCAATTTGTCAAACTTCTGATCTGAATGAAGATAAATCTACATCTTTTTTAACACTCCTAATGTTGCTGCTATGACAATATCATGTCTAAAGACAGAGGATGAACAGACAGACAGACCAATTCCTGTTTACATGTTCTCCTAACTTCATTTCGTTTAGAGAAAGGGATGAACAGACAGACAGACCAATTCCTGTTTACATGTTCTCCTAACTTCATTTCCTTTAGAGAAAGGGATGAACAGACAGACAGACCAATTCCTGTTTACATGTTCTCCTAACTTCATTTCCTTTAGAGAAAGGGATGAACAGACAGACAGACCAATTCCAGTTTACTTGTACCCCTAACTTCATTTCCTTTAGAGAAAGGGATGAACAGACAGACAGACCAATTCCAGTTTACATGTACTCCTAACTTCATTTCCTTTAGAGAAAGGGATGAACAGACAGACAGACCAATTCCAGTTTACCCCTACCTTCAAGGATTCTGGTTCCAGGTTTTCTACTACCATCCTAGATCTCATATGAAGGGAAAAACAGACGACCTGATTAAAGTTTTCCCTACACCCTTCCATTTCTCATACAACGTGACTAATAGACAGAAAACCCAAATCAAGTTTTCCACTTCAGACAGAGACAAGCTGATTACAGTTTACCTCCACCATTGCAGTCTTTAGATTAGGGGATGAACAGACAACTTGATTCAAGTTATCTCTTACACTCCAAATTCTCATGCAAAGCGACAAACAGACAGACAAGCTGCATGATTAGTTTACTACCACCTTCCCAGTCTTTAGATAGAGGATGAACAGACACCAAATTCTAGCTGACTTCCGACTTCCCAGTCTTTAGAAAGAGGATGAACAGACACCAAATTCTAGCTGACTTCCGACTTCCCAGTCTTTAGAAAGAGGATGAACAGACACCAAATTCCAATTTACTACCACCTTTCCAGTTTAAATCGAGGATGAACAGACACCAAATTCTAGTTGATTTCCACCTTCCCAGTCTTTAGAAAGAGAATGAACAGACACCAAATTCTAGTTTACTACCACCTTCCCAGTCTTTAGATAGAGGATGAACAGACACCCAATTCTAGTTTACTACCACCTTCCCAGTCTTTAGATAGAGGATGAACAGACACCAAATTCCAATTTACTGCCACCTTCCCAGTCTTTAGATAGAGGATGAACAGACACCCAATTCTAGTTTACTACCACCTTCCCAGTCTTTAGATAGCTTAGCGCTTTATGTGCAATTACAGCTGAAGCAGTCCGTCTATTGACAACAGAGAGCTATATTTAACAACAGCATTGTCAGCAAGAGTAAAACCTGATAGAAAAAGACATAATTCTTAATTAAATTGATAAAATCTCTCCAAATCTGTCTTCATTAGACACAGTAGCTATACAGTATCTGTAAAATATTTTCATAACAATCCATGGCTACATCTAATGAAGGAAAACAGCTACACCTCGGATGTATTGAGTAAAAGACCTGGAGTGCCGTAACAAAGGCATGAATCTGTAACTAAAACCCAACAGGCATTAATCGGTATTTGGTCTTGATGACTGATAGAGAAAAGTAAAGCTATGATATATGTACGTTAGGTTTAGAAATACTATGTATAGTGTACACACATGTTGGCCTGAACAATTTTGTCATGTATATTGTTCAATGTATAAGCAAGGAATACAAGATATTGTATTTATGTTTTGGTACCTGTAAATTGCAATTAAAGGAATCTTAGTTTAACACAATATTTTTAAGCAAAAAATAAAAAGACCACTAAAATATGTACATTTACAGTATGTCATCAATATACAGGTCTTCATTAAAAAGTAAGTACATTTGTACCTAAACACTGGGACAGCAGTGAGCTGTATAAACAAATAATGTTAAATTTTATTTGTTTTTGTGGGATTCCAATTTTCTAAAATATACAGTTTCATTGGCACTTAATTTCGAGGATAAATCTTCCTCACCAGATACACTAGTACTACAACCCATGTCAAAGTTTTATTGGTTGAATTTTAGGAGTACATGTGAATTTGTGGATTCAGAGTACCCACGAATTCAATGAAAATGAATCCCACGCAAAAATTTATGATTTTACAGTATAAAGAGAATATAACATCATAAGCCTTTAGGCATGTGACATACCAAATTACTTCACAAGTTGAATAAATTTGATATTTCATTGACATGAGTTGAAGATTCTCTTTATCATATAACCTGTATTTCTGAAAAAATAAGCAAAAATTCTCAAATTCATTTCCCTTTAAGACAGGCAGGCTTATTTTGACTTGGATGTTTATGTTTACAATCATGTTATGTCTTCAAGACGCGATTTATTGATGACAACAGAATAGTGTTATTACACACGTGTTATGATATCTAAGACATGGTATATGACACATGATACCAGCCAGCAGTATTATAATAGATTTTGCTCTGAAGGCTGTCTGTATCACTGTAGTGACATCTGGAGGACGTAATGTATTGGTCAATATGTCCAACAGATGTCAGGTTCCTTGTCTAAAAATAGCATTTATATGCAAAAGTCCGAGAAAACATCACAGAGAATTGATTCTATTCCTCCTTGACCATTCCGTATTAAGGCTGATTTGACATGTAAATATAATATATCTTCCCAAACAGACATTACAATGCAGAATTTCACTAGGAATTCCACACACTGTCAAAAGAAATTAGCTCCAATGGTTCCAGAACAAGAACTTAAATAGATCAACTTAAGGGTTAGCTTGTCTGGTCTGTAAAAAAAGTGTGACTGTATCAGGGTA